AGCCACAGTCAAACCAGCAAGCACGAACCCAGGGATTATTGGGGTATTCAGTGACAAGCAACTGAAAGCGTGTAGGTTGATTTATTCTCGTGCAGCTCAAACATACAGCCATGTCGCAAGCGCCTTGAAACAATGGGGAGACGTCACCAACCTCCCGGCCTATCTGACAGTGTTATGCAACGACGCTCTGGGTGGACATGTCGACCCTGCTCTACTCGAGTAACAAGCCTTGCACCTTTCATGGGACATCAGCCAGACAATGGAAATCAACATCGTGTAAAATCATCGGACACGCAATGTTTTACCAATTCTATTATTTTAAGTTGATCATTCTTGATCAATATCCACGTTTCAACGTCCATTGTCCACACACTATCGCTGCAATATTCAGTCAGTATTGTTAGAATAGTTGTACTTTCCATGCCTTTCCTTATTGGCGTGCATGTCATATTAGTAAACTTTATTATCCCGTGTTACGGATTTCATTAAAACACATTTTCAGAATTAACCTGATTGATACGTTCGTGTTATTTGATTTGACAGGGATCCCTACCAATAAGCACTTTAACTTGCAGGGGGAGGGAGGGTAACCTATAGGATAAAGCATTCGCTCGGTCATCCGAAGATCGGTTCCATTCCTCACATTGGTGGACAGCCGCCGTGGTGTAGTGGTAGAGCGTCTGCCCAGAGAGCGGAAGGTCTTGGGTTCGATCCCAGGCGGGGTCATACCAAAAGACGTTACAAGATGGTACTTCTTGTTACCATGTCTGGCACTCAGCTTTAAGGGGCTAAAACAAGGATTGGTCGACTTGGAGTCAGTATACTGTGTCTGAGTGGGGTGTTCATGTTAAACTGCGGCATGGTAGCTCAGTAGGCTAGCACTATAAAACCGGCATAAGACCGGACTAACTACGTCGCTATATGAGTACGACTCCATTTCACCTCACCTCCTCTTTATTTGATTTAGATCGCCTCCGTGGTCTAGTGGTAGGGCGTCCCCCCGCGTCATACCAAAAGACGTTAAAAGATGGTACTTGTTGTTACCCTGTCTGTCGCTCGGCATTAAGGGGCTAAAACAAGGATTGGTCGGCTCGGAGTCGGTATACTGTGTCTGAGTGGGGTATCCATGTTAAACTGCAGCATGATATCTCAGTGTGATAGCACTATAAATCGCCAACAGTCCGGACTAGTACGAGCAGCCACACACACACGTGTATGCACGTCGCTATATAAGTGCAATAATCTTGTACGCGACGTTAAACCCCATTTCACCTCACCACACCTTATTTGATTTAATTTTTCATACAATAACTTTTGAAAATACCGTTCTGTGAGTATAGTTGGTTGGTTGGTTTGTGGTTTAACGCCGCACTCAGCAATATGCCAGTTATATGACGGCGGTCTGTAAATAATCGAATCTGGACCAGACAATCCAGTGATTGATATCATGAGCATCGATCCACGAAATTGGGATCGATGATATGCATCAACCAAGTCAGCGAGCCTGGCCACCTGATCCCGTCAGTCGCCTATCACGACAAGCACAGTCATAGGGCAAACATGGGTTGTTGAAGACCTGTTCTACCCCGGATCTTCTCGGGCCTTGTGAGTACAGAGCCCGATCTCTTGAGATATATTCAGACATAAACCGCATGAATGCTAACACGAACTGTTTATAATCAAATGTCACAGACATGGGTTTTACATGTACACCTGTGTTGTGTATAGAGAATAGCGTAAATGAGTCGTTTAGCGTTATATAATCCAACATGTGGCACAGGCACTGTTATCTTGTTTAATTCATTCGTTTCTGTGTTTAGTAAGTTTTGACGTAGGTCTCCAACTTTCAGTGTGGGCTGTCGGTAACCTGAACAGTCAAACTAGCTGCTGATAGAATGATGTACTAAAGTACTCACGGAAATGAAAAAAAAAGTTTTTTCTCAATTTAAAAATCGACACAAAGTGTTACGTAGCTGTAAATACGAAATAACAAAACAACTCGAAAAGTACTAGTCTGGATTTGCTAGTTTGATCTTAGTGAACAATACAAAATGTACTTTACAGGAGGTAATTTGTCGGCACTTTCAACATTCAAAAATAAAACAAGTCCAAATTGACATAGCAGAAACAGACTATAGGCATTATCCACCTGTTCTCACCTGTCGTCAACGTGTCATAGGTCACCTTGATCTACTTACACCTGGTTATGCCCTGTTTCACAATAGTCTGTTTTACTACATTTTTACACACTTTTACGTGTAAAAAGGCATAAAAACATTTGATACGCTGTATTTGTGCCACGGCCCAATTAGTACTAATTTAGTTGTTTGAATATTTTACATATTTTGTATATTAACTGCATTTATTCAAGATCTGAGGTCGAAAAAACAGGGTTTTTTTCATTTCCGTGAGTACTTTACTACCGTCGCTGCTACTACTACTACTACTGCTACTACTACTACTACTACTACACTACTACTACTACTACTACTACTACACTACTACTACTACTACACTACTACTACTACTACTACTACTACAACACTACTACTACTACTACTACTACTACTACTACAACACTACTACTACTGCTACTACTACACCGCCACAACGACGACGACAACCACCACTACTATTACTATTACAACATCTTATAAGCCTACTGGCTGTTTGTGTGACTCGATATGGAGTTTTTGAAATTGTGGTAACACCTCGTACTGTAGTGAGCAATTCATCGGTCTCAGATGGAATCCAACGGACTGTACGAGGTATTACAACGATTGGTAACACCTCGCAGGAGGGCTTACAATCATTGTAAACCCTTGATAGAACAAAAACTACGAACAGCCTACGAGACGCACGTGCAGATATCGTGCCATTGCGAAACCCACTTGCTGAGGTCACCGGTTTCATTGAACCGAGTTCACGAATGCAGGCGATATTTCATCTCCGATACAGGTTATACATTTGAAAGTTTTTATTACCGTTATTTAATTAAAAACGTTGTCTATGCGATGAGTCGGTTTATAAGTTGGACAAACCATGCCTCCTCGAGATTACGAGAAATTGTAAACCCTCACATTCGGGAACGTCCCTCATGTGAGGGTGGGGGGCAGGGGTGGTCCAGTCGTCTAAGGCGCCGTGATTCGCTGTTCAGAGTTGCTTCCCACGGACACGCGAGAAACCTATGATTGTGGGTTCGAATCCCGGTTCGCCCCGTTTCTAGGTTTGTCAGCACCATACCCGTGCTCGTGGGTTTCACCGAAGTGATAAACGTCTGAGACCTGCACCACTTCGAGCTTTCCTCACACATCAAGCTGACACGCCGCGATATGACTGGAATACTGTTAATAGCGGCGTTAAACCCAACTCACTCATGTGAGGGTTTACAATCTCTAGTAAATTCTTCGGGGACATGGTTTCTCCTACACATCTACCCCTACTACCCACCCGTGAAGATCCGGGGTAGAATAGGTCTTCGGCAACCCATGCCTGCCGTATAAGGTGACTATGCTTGTCGTAAGAGATATAACGTTGCGTTCAAAGATGACAAAACTTCTTAAATACGCACAACCTAAATGACTTACAACTAAACAAAGCACCAAACAACTCTTTCATTCCCCAAATCGACATATCTCCCTCCACCAAACTAAAAAGATAAACCGACTCATTAATTAGGCTCCAGGCTATAAAAAGACAAAATCACGAAAAAGGTTCAAAACTAATACTTCAGGTACTTAAAAGCTACGACAATCTCCGTAAACTAGGCGAAGACATTGAAATATCAGTGTTTGATAACGAACATGGCGTTAGAGCAGCTAAATCGACACTTAACTGAGAAAAAAAAGCATCAACCTTCCAATATATTGAAGCGAAATTAAAAATACTACTAAGGAAAAGTTTTTCCAAAAGTGGCAAAACAACTATCAGAAGTCAAAATGCAAACTAAAACACGTGCTACAAAAGCCACACCACGAACATGTTTTACGAACATCGTTAAATATTTTATATATTAAATACTTCACGCGATTGCGGTGGTGGTGAAATGGGGTTTAACGTCGCGTCCAAGATTATTGCACTTATAAAGCGACGTGCATGTGCGTGCATGTGTTTGTGTGCCTGCTTGTACCAGTCCGGACTGATGCCGATTTATAGTGATAGCTCACTGAGATACCATGCCACAGTTAAACATGAATACTCCACTCAGACACAGTATATTGACTCCGAGCCGACCAGTCCTCGTTTTAGCCCCTTAATGCCGAGCGCCAGACAGGGTAACAACAAGTACCATCTTTTAACGTCTTTTTGTATGACGCGGTCGGGGATCGAACCCCGGACCTTCCGCCACGCGATTGCGTATCATCTTCTGTTGCAAATCCTGAACTGCAGGGACAAACCACTCACATCAACGAAACAGAATACAGCTTAAAGACAGACGGAAAATGAAAACACAAAAGTGCATAAATTGTTTGCTTTCTCCCCATTGAAGACGAACGTGTAAAAATTATATTTATTTCAGTGTCATTGTTTTCTTACAACACCAATTTCCTATTTAAAAATATATCTTAATAATCATATATCGGTAAATTAATATGCATATTCTCAAAGTAAATTCAATGCATTAACTGACCGTCGCATACAAGATATTATATATTTTACATATGCGACTGACCAGTCACTCCAGCTGTGAGACAGTGGACCATTACGCACGTCTACCTGGCCAGGCTGACACAAAGGTAAATCCCTCAGATAGCCAGTGATTAGTGTGTTTACGTCCATCACAGGGTCGGCACACATGGTCAGTCCGACTGTACAATAAGGGTCAGTTTGGAAAGATAACAGCCTACTTGAATGCAATTCGTAAACAAACACAATCTTCAATGGTTACAAGTGACAAACCGCTGACACCTTGATGTTGTGAAAGATATAGGAATTCGTAGCATTTAGTTATGTAACGTAATGAAGGCCTGAGTTGTGTATAAACGGCGGTCGGTGGTAGCAACTTCATTCTGCTACCACGATTAAAAGCCACCACCTCAGCAGCCTGCTCTGGGTTTCAAAGTAAGAAACTATTTGACTTTAACTGTTAACTTAATCTTCTGCAACGATTTTAATACGTTAGGTTTAAGTTAGATCTATTTGGACTATATGGTAGCATTGTGGCAGTTACCACTGCGTAAATATCTAGTTGGCAATACTTTCTTTTGCGAACATATTCTATGTATAGTATATTAGTATAATATTCGCATGACAATTTCCCCATGTGAGTATGTGTACCAATATCATCAAAAAGTAAGTTCCTACATTCAAAGATACACACTCATAACAATGATAAATAGTACCAATGCAAAATGAGTCGGTTCTGTTCATTATATTCTGAAAGATGTTTTCTTTTTAGAATATGTCTACCAAATATCCACGCATGACAACGTGACTATTTCATAAACATTTTTTCTCGTATTAAATGCCTATGACATAACTATCTATTAAACCGTCAGGTACAATGTATTTCCATCTACAATATATATAGAGTCATAAAAATATAATCATGATAACAATTCAATACATGTAGAACACATATGCACCCTCATCACAATAGTATAATCGTTAAACAACAAATGAGGAAATGAAAATAAATGTATGATGTATGATGATGTATGCGTGTTGAAAACGTATTGGATTGTTATTGTGATTAAATGTATATGACTTTGCCTCTGTATAGGTGTTGCCCACGTATTGTATTATTATTATGAGTATAAGTATGCCTCACCGACAAGAACAACTCAGCAGCCTTCTTGGTTCCAAGGTTATAGCCATTTTTGGCCGCTCTACTACCGCTAGGGGCGGTCGGGAAGCCTAGTGGTTAAAGCGTTCGCTCGTCACACCGAAGACCCGGGTTCTATTCCCGACATGGGAACAATGTGTGAAGCCCATTTCTGGTATCCCCCGCCGTGATATTGCTGGAACATTGCTAAAAGCGGCGTAAAACCACACTCACTCACACACTCACTCCACTACTGCTAATTCCCCCGATTACGTTGTAATGTTGAAGTGCGCCATTTGCGATGGTATTCTTAAAAATACATTTTGATATTTGATAAAATATCATATGTAAATGTGCTTAACATATATGGTCTATTTTCTATTATTCAAAGTTTCAATTAGAATAGCCTAGGATTGAACCCCCTTATGCTTCTTTGTTTAAATAAGTTCAAGTCTCCTTCAAATACAAATGTATCGGGTTAACTATGTAAGCTTGGTTACATCCAAGAACAACACATGAACAGAAAGCATGTGTCAATTTGACGTTGACCAGAAATAGTAAACAATGGCGATACAGTTGACCAATCAGAGTAAACTGTATGTTCTACCCCATCTTCGGAACACTGAAAAGCACACGTTGCTCTTCGTCATCTACATTATTCTTACTTCTACTTCAAGGTAAGTCGTTTTCATGTGTTGTCACCTAAATAACACTTGAATTTATGTGTTTATTTTATGTTTAGTATGTGTTTTGATACTGTGAACATTTGACACTTGTATATGTTTGTTCAACGTCAGGAATATTATTAATAATCAGAGAGTATATGTATATTCTCGTTAAACGGCTTTCACAAATCACTCCTATCGTGAGTTGCATGCTAAATAACAATTACATGACCTGTCGTTAGTGAAGCACGGTATTCCGTAATGGCGTAGTCATTCCTAAATAAGATATCATTAGTATAAAATATAGCTGACGTTGGCAATGCTTGTATTTCGTTTATGTTGTTGTATGTAATCTATACAGCCATGTTCCAGTTTAGTTACTTAAACTGATATGATTATCTATCATCTATTATATATATATTATCATCATCTGTAGTAGGCACATATCTCACTGGTAGATTGGAATATTACACTGCCCATAATGTCATAAACTTGCCATTGTACAATGAAACACATGCGCTCCGCACTCACTATACTAGTTAACATGATACTCAGCGATATATACTCATCATCTCAGTGATTCTGACACTCAACAACATGTACTTTTTGTAGAACTAACAAGGATGACGACGATGCAGTTGTTGATGACGATGGTGGCTGCTGCACTGGTGCCGTCTGTTACTAACGGGATATGTCTGCGTGAGTATTTTGGATAGTCCTCCTTTCGGACCGACCATTTCATGTTCTTGGGAACAAAATTCCAGAACCCCCCCCCCCCCCACACACACACACCCACACACACACACATCCCCACACCCCCATACAAACACCCAGACACCACTCCCTCCTCTCACGCTCCCTTTTCCAACAGGTTACTAAAACGGACTAGAGTACAGATTGATTAACTTTTCATCTGAAGTTTTGAGTGTTTGCACAATCGCTGACGAAGAGGTCGGTCTGACCCCCTTCCAAAGTTCAGTATTCATGTGAGTACAAGTTTTGGCCAAAGGGTTCTATATGTTATGTTCGTGGTAACATTACTAATAGGCCAGTACCAGCTGAAAAAAAGGTAATATATACCTTATGTTCGTGGTCACATTACTAATAGGCCAGTAGCAGCTGCCTAAAGGGTAATATATACCTTATGTTCGTGGTTACATTACTAATACGCCTGTACCACCTTCTGCCAAACGGGTAATATATACCTTATGTTCGTGGTAACATTACTAATAGGCCAGTACCAGCTGCCTAAAGGGTAATATATACCTTATGTTCATGGTAACATTACTAATAGGCCAGTACCAGCTGCCAAAAGGGTAATATATACCTTATGTTCGTGGTAACATTACTAATATGCCAGCACCACTTTCTGCTAAACGGGTAATATATACCTTATGTTCTTGGTCACATTACTAATAGGCCAGTACCAGCTGCCAAAAGGGTAATATATACCTTATGTTCGTGGTAACATTACTAATAGGCCAGTACCACCTTCTGCCAAACGGGTAATATACACCTTATGTTCATGGTAACATTACTAATAGGCCAGTACCAGCTGCCAAAAGGGTAATATATACCTTATGTTCGTGGTAACATTACTAATAGGCCAGCACCACCTTCTGCCAAACGGGTAATATATACCTTATGCTCGTGGTCACATTACTAATAGGCCAGTACCAGCTGCCAAAAGGGTAATATATACCTTATGTTCGTGGTCCCATTACTAATAGGCCAGCACCACCTTCTGCCAAACGGGTAATATATACCTTATGTTCGTTGTAACATTACTAATAGGCCAGTACCAGCTGCCCAAAGGGTAATATATACCTTATGTTCGTGGTAACATTACTAATAGGCCAGTACCACCTTCTGCCAAACGGGTAATATATACCTTATGTTCATGGTAACATTACTAATAGGCCAGTACCAGCTGCCCAAAGGGTAATATATACCTTATGTTCGTGGTAACATTACTAATAGGCCAGCACCACCTTCTGCCAAACGGGTAATATATACCTTATGTTCATGGTCACATTACTAATAGGCCAGTACCAGCTGCCAAAAGCGTAATATATACCTTATGTTCGTGGTCACATTACTAATACGCCTGTACCACCTTCTGCCAAACGGGTAATATATACCTTATGTTCATGGTAACATTTCTAATAGGCCAGTACCACCTTTGTTCAAACGGGTAATATATACCTTATGTTCGTGGTAACATTACCCGTAGGCCAGCACCACCTTCTGCCAAACGGGTAATATATACCTTATGTTCGTGGTCACATTACTAATAGGCCAGTACCACCTTCTGTCAAACGGGTAATATATACCTTATGTTCGTGGTAACATTACTGATAAGCAAGCTTCTGCCAAATCTAAAAAAGCCTTATGTTCGTGGTAACATTATGTGAACCAAGGGGGAACAAATAACATTGTCAAAATGGAATTGCTGACTCCAGACTTAATGAAATTGGTCAAACGTCCTTAGGTTGTCACCTTCTATTTGTACCATTGATCCATTAATACATCGGCTGTGCCTGTGTGGGTGCCCTGCTTTACTCTGTGTTGATCTTAGGTGTGCTGATGATGTTCATTGTTTAAGAGATATTACCATTCATACATACGTACATTGTGGCGTTAAGGTCATGTGAAAGTCCTTGAGTATTAGTTGTACTTTGTGTTTGTTTGAAGTCAAGGTCACACACTGGGGTATAACGTCAGTAAGTTGCGTCAGATTACTTTATTGCAATTAAACATAACAAGCAAAGGTTAAATGTACTATACGTTATTTGTAAATATCCACTGTACTTTATCCAACACGTTCATTGTGTTTTCTACACGTGTGCTTGTGATGCATGCGGATGTGTCCGACCACGTAAGTTATGACTACCTACTCCAATATAAATACGTTTACTGAGTCAATGGAACAAGGACTACGTCCATGAGTTTGTGATGGGGATGCCATCTATTTCATGTCATGTCATGTCATGTCATACAAACAATATTAACATAGAATAAGCATTTACCATATGTAGCTGCATTTCCTTTGACTGACGAGTCTTAAAGATCTGGATTTTCCTTTCCTAATCTACACTTTTCTTCACAACATGTGGTGTAGCCTACGTGGAACTTGCGACTACCACAACTCACAACTACCAATCCCTCTCCGAACAGGGCGTGGATTTGGCTCCTGGTACAACGTCATTTAAGTTCAAGGTAAGCCAGGGACTATCACCATGTCAATATCTGTTCATATAAATAATCAGTATTTTGGGTTCCGGTATAAACGGACAGCCAAACCAAACTTTGATCTTGGTTATAACATGGGAAAATAATAAAGCCAACATTCTATTAATTCCGAACTTGCGACTACCACAACTCACAACTACCAATCCCTCTCCGAGCAGGGCGTGGATTTGGCTCCTGGTACAACGTCATTTAAGTTCAAGGTAAGCCAGGGACTATCACCATGTCAATATCTGTTCATATAAATAATCACTATTTTGGGTTCCGGTATAAACGGACAGCCAAACCAAAGTTTGATCTTGGTTATTACATGGGAAAATAATAAAGAAAACATTCTATAAATTCCGAGTCGTAAAGTTTACTTGGTTTCTCCAAGGTCCGCGCGTCAAATGATGCTCACCTGGTCCTGCTGCAGGCCGATGGCGTAACCGACGAGAACGCATACGAGGTGGTGATTGGTGGATGGAACAACACCCAATCAGTTATTAGAAAAGGCATGGCACAAGCCAACAGAGTGACAACCAGACACACGCCATTGTTTGCGTTCCACTCCCATGATTTCTGGATTTCTTGGGAGAATGGTGTGATCGCTGTTGGGACGGGGATGGAGGTCGGAGTTGGGACGTTCATGTCGTGGACGGATCCTTCCCCTCATGCCGTAAGGGACATCGCTGTGTATACTGGATGGGGATCCACGGGTCTGTGGCAGTTTGGTAAGTAGCCGCCAGCAGAGGTAGTTCCTGAGTGAGTGAGTTGTGCTTTATTCCTCTTTGTACAGTATTTCATAGTGTGACCTGCGCTGGATGTAGACGCTTTACCGTGAATATTGCAGACATTTGTTTCTTTAAAATGTTTACCTATAAAACTCAGAGCCGACGACTGGCTACTTGTGCACTACTGGGCATTTCAGCCTATGAAGAAACGTTTTCTTATGTTAATGTTTTTGAATATAGGATGAATATGTGTTCGGCTAAAACTATACAATCCTGTTGTCCTGTATGTACTACCTGGCCGAGCAATGACACGATATAGTATCTGTACACACAAGTTAAACAACCATAATTAACCAGAAACAGTTTTCTCTACAATATGAATACAACAACATAACTGTATTTGCTAAGTTCGTATTGCAGAGAGCAACCTTCCATTGGTTTGTTTGGAAACGGCCGACGACTACCACTACCACTCCGTCGATGACGGTGGATTTCACCTCAATGGACAATCATCCTTCACCTTCTGGGTTAGGGCTACCAATGACGCTCACATCGCGTTACTAAGAAACAAAGGCCTCTACGAGAATGACATGTACGAAATCGTCATCGGAGGCTGGCATAACACAAAGTCTGTCATCAGAGACAGGAAGGGAGGGCCAATCCTTGCGCTTGCGCGCCACGTTCCACTATCAGGGAACAAGCACCTGCCCTTCTGGATCAGCTTCAGCGGTGGCACAATCTCCGTGGGTGCTGGCACAGAGGTCGGAACACGTCAGTTCATGTCGTGGACAGACCCAACTCCAACACAGATCAGATACGTTGGCGTGGCAACGGGCTGGGGGTCCACGGGAAAATGGCTTTTCTGTAAGTAATCGTTTTTCACCCCATGACGTTACTGACATTATTTCTCGTTGTGTTGCTTCAAACTTAACAAAAAGTTCAAAAGAATTCTAATCCTGTCCAGCTGGCATTTAATAGCAAAATAGATATGTGTCTTACACAACCATCAAAGGAAATACTTTTATCAACTTATGTTGTCTGTGTGCAGTTTTGATAGCCACTGGCGACCACACGGTGAAAAAGCTGGAAGACTGTTTTTGGATGATAAATAGAATCTCGCCCTCATAATCTTGTTAGATTCTCTATCTCTGTATTAATGAAATAGATATGTTTCGCTCATGCCAAACATGTCTCTGTTTTAGAACCAGCCGCTCCACAAGTTGACAAAACTGGACTTTTCACATGCTGAAACCATAGCAATGGTTGTGAAGATGGGAAACAAATACCTGGCTCCACCTGTCGGGCGATAACAGCAGAACAATTGAAGATCCTATTCCAATGCATGTACATGAATGATGAACTTTTAATAATATAAAGGATAATCCCTTCCTTGCTACTTCTACCTTAGAAGTGCTGAAATAAAGTAACTACAATATGAATGAGTATTGTGTCTACAGTAGGTTATGCGCATACTTTATACTGCAAACTGAAGTGAACAGTGTATTGTCCAGTGTGGTACGTGCATATCTACAACAGAGTCACGTGAGTTGACACACTGTGACAATCTTCATGGGCCAGCACTTTAAAACAATCAAAGCATTCATACGCACGCACGCACGCACGCACGCAGGCAGGCAGCCAGGCACGCACGCACGCACGCACGCACTGTATAAGTGCAATGGTCTTAAAAAACAATTGACCTCATCTCACCTTAATGCCAGTTAGACATTCACATTTCTCCCTTGTTTAATGGGGAGACATATTTCTTCTTCCTTGCGGTAGCATTGCCAAGATGTGAAACAACGGTGACTCACTGACCTCAAGTCGAAAGCATATAAATAATTAATATTATTTTGAATGATATTATATTGCTGAAAAATGTGTTTCTTTTGAATTGACATGGTTTTAAATATCAGTATTCTGTCAAATGTTAATGAACAATTGTCATTCATCGGAAGTTGCAATCGTCTAAGCGATCAGTCATTGCACTCCTCAAATCTTCACAGCACTGGATTGTTCTTGGCGTCTTTTCCTGACATCAAAACATAATAGGTCCAAATGTTCTTTTAAGCGGCACAAGCGATTCGCTACCTCTCGGTAGACTTGTTTTCTACTCCTGGGGGCAGTACCAAAGTCGATCTGCGATATCTTGGCCCGATCTGCATGTTCTACCTTCTTGATGACTTCAATGAAGCGGTAGATGTTCGGATGTCGATGTGGAAACCTTCCAGATTGTTGTTTGATTTCGGACCTATCGTTGAGTGATGGTTCCACAATGGCAGCGGGAATCGTGCTCCGTCGTCAACCCAGTTGACAACCACATAGTCATTGCGTTCAACAGCTCTTGGAACGTTGGGAGTGTCATCAGTGGCTTCGATCCAGGTGTCTTTCATAACTGCTTGTGGATGCAGCTCTTCTTATCCACGCGCACACTTCAAGGTCTTCTTTGTACAAAAGTCCTATGTTCTGTGTCTCCCTCCAAATGGCTTGGCTGTAATGAAATAGGCTTAAGGAGATCTACGACAGATACCGGATCTAACTGCAATTCCTGTTTTAACCGAGCCAGGTCTGGGGCGTGGTCTTGACATTCCAGTTACAAGTGGTAAATTTAAATACTTTAGGTACATTCATGCTTTAACCTTTATTCGGTTTTAAACCAATTCTGTATTTCACGAAACAGTGTTAAAATAAGCAAACCTGCTTGTTCACCAATTTAGGTTTCTTTAGAAATATAGCATGTTTAAACAAACCAATCTTAAGTTGATTAATATAATCTTTTACTCAGTTTCAGTCAATCTTTCCAAAAGTTAATCCAGCTATCTTTACTTGGTTCATCCATTACTCTCATGGATTTACCAGGGACTGTTCCACTATAAAAAGGTGAATTCCCTTTGTTGTTTTAACCAAGTGTGGGGTCAGTGGGCTGTAGGTGTTTTGGGAGATAACCCTAAGTTCCAGACTTCCATAATTATATTGGTACCAGTGAGGAATGTATTACCCCTTAACGTTGCAGACATGGGGTAATGGTCTGATACATCAATTGGAATGTATCTATTAGTGGTAGGTTTCAGAAGTGACGCCTGGATCGTTTCATACTCAATAATTGAACTTTGAGAGCTGGAAGGCATCCTTCGTGTAACAGTACAGTCTCTGTCCATTTGATCATATGTTGATCATATGTTAATCATATGTTATCATGTTTATATGTAAATATCATGGTGATATCTTGTTTATCATATGTTGATGTCATTTTGAATATATGTTGATATCATGTTGATCATATTTTGATCGGGGCGGTCGGGTAGCCTAGTGGTTAAAGCGTTCGCTCCTCACGCCGAAGACCTGAGTTCGATTCCCGACATGGGTACATTGTGTGAAGCCCGTTTCTGGTGTCTCCCGCCGAGATATTGCTGGAATATTGCTACAAGCGGCGTAAAACCATACTCACTCACTCATATTTTGATCATCCATTAAATGTTGAACACATGTTGATATCACGTTGAGCACATGCTGATTACATACTGATCATATGCTATCATGTTAATCATATGTTATCATGATGAAGATGCGTGCTCATATGCTGATATCATGCTGATCATATTCTATCATGTTGATCATATGTTATCATGATGAACATGTGTTGATCATATGCTGATATCATGCTGATCATATGCTATCATGTTGATCATATGTTATCATGATAAACATGTGTTGATCATATGCTGATATCATGTTGATCATATGTTTTCATGTTGATCATATGTTTATCATATGCTGATATCATGCTGATCATATGCTATCATGTTGATCATATGTTATCATGATGAACATGTGTTGATCATATGCTGATATCATGTTGATCATATGCTATCATATTGATCATATGCTATCATGTTGATCATATGTTTTCATGATGAACATGTGTTGATCATATGCTGATATCATATTTATCACATACTGTCATGTTGATCATATGCTACAATCATGTTGATCATGGGGCAATGGTCTGATACATCAATTGGAATGTATCTATTAGTGGTAGGCTTCAGAAGTGACGCCTGGATCGTTTCATACTCAAGAATTGAATTTTGAGAGCTGGATGGCATCCTTCGTGTAACTGTACAGTCTCTGTCCATTTGATCATATGTTGATCATATGTTAATCATATGTTATCATGTTTATATGTAAATATCATGTTGATATCTTGTTTATCATATGTTGATGTCATTTTGAATATATGTTGATATCATGTTGATCATATTTTGATCGGGGCGGTCGGGTAGCCTAGTGGTTAAAGCGTTCGCTCCTCACGCCGAAGACCTGAGTTCGATTCCCGACATGGGTACATTGTGTGAAGCCCGTTTCTGGTGTCTCCCGCCGAGATATTGCTGGAATATTGCTACAAGCGGCGTAAAACCATACTCACTCACTCATATTTTGATCATCCATTAAATGTTGAACACATGTTGATATCACGTTGAGCACATGCTGATTACATACTGATCATATGCTATCATGTTAATCATATGTTATCATGATGAAGATGCGTGCTCATATGCTGATATCATGCTGATCATATTCTATCATGTTGATCATATGTTATCATGATGAACATGTGTTGATCATATGCTGATATCATGCTGATCATATGCTATCATGTTGATCATATGTTATCATGATAAACATGTGTTGATCATATGCTGATATCATGTTGATCATATGTTTTCATGTTGATCATATGTTTATCATATGCTGATATCATGCTGATCATATGCTATCATGTTGATCATATGTTATCATGATGAACATGTGTTGATCATATGCTGATATCATGTTGATCATATGCTATCATATTGATCATATGCTATCATGTTGATCATATGTTTTCATGATGAACATGTGTTGATCATATGCTGATATCATATTTATCACATACTGTCATGTTGATCATATGCTACAATCATGTTGATCATGGGGCAATGGTCTGATACATCAATTGGAATGTATCTATTAGTGGTAGGCTTCAGAAGTGACGCCTGGATCGTTTCATACTCAAGAATTGAATTTTGAGAGCTGGATGGCATCCTTCGTGTAACTGTACAGTCTCTGTCCATTTGATCATATGTTGATCATATGTTAATCATATGTTATCATGTTTATATGTAAATATCATGTTGATATCTTGTTTATCATATGTTGATGTCATTTTGAATATATGTTGATATCATGTTGATCATATTTTGATCGGGGCGGTCGGGTAGCCTAGTGGTTAAAGCGTTCGCTCCTCACGCCGAAGACCTGAGTTCGATTCCCGACATGGGTACAATGTGTGAAGCCCGTCTCTGGTGTCTCCCGCCGCGATATTGCTGGAATATTGCTACAAGCGGCGTAAAACCGTACTCACTCACTCATATTTTGATAATCCATTATATGTTGATCACATGTTGATATCACGTTGAGCTCTTGCTGATTACATACTGATCATATGCTATCATGTTAATCATATGTTATCATGATGAAGATGCGTGCTCATATGCTGATATCATGCTGATCATATTCTATCATGTTGATCATATGTTATCATGTTGATCATATGCTATCATGTTGATCATATGTTATCATGTTGATCATATGCTATCATGTTGATCATATGCTATCATGTTGATCATATGTTATCATGTTGATCATATGTTATCATGATGAACACGTGTAAATCATATGCTGATATCATGTTGATCATATGTTATCATGTGGATCATATGTTGATCATAAGCTGATATCATGCTGATCATATGCTATCTTGTTGATCATATGCTATCATGATGAACATGTGTTGATCATATGCTGATATCATGTTGATCATATGTTATCTTGTTGATCATATGTTGATATCATGCTGATCATATGTTATCTTGTTGATCATATGCTATCATGATGAACATGTGTTGATCATATGCTGATATCATGTTGATCATATGCTATCATATTGATCATATGTTTTCATGATGAACATGTGTTGATCATATGCTGATATCATATTTATCACATGCTGTCATGTTGATCATATGCTATCATGTTGATCATGGGGTAATGGTCTGATACATCAATTTGAATGTATCTATTAGTGGTAGGCTTCAGAAGTGACGCCTGGATCGTTTCATACTCAAGAATTGAATTTTGAGAGCTGGATGGCATCCTTCATGTAACTGTACAGTCTCTGTCCATTTGATCATATGTTGATCATATGTTAATCATATGTTATCATGTTTATATGTAAATATCATGGTGATATCTTGTTTATCATATGTTGATGTCATTTTGAATATATGTTGATATCATGTTGATCATATTTTGATCGGGGCGGTCGGGTAGCCTAGTGGTTAAAGCGTTCGCTCCTCACGCCGAAGACCTGAGTTCGA